CTGTAAGTTTTTAAGATTACTCTTCTTTGATCGTTTATTGTTATTTTTCTATCTCTTTTTGAATCTTAATCTTACCTCAGTAACTGACTTTATTTATTTGAGATTGGCCTTTTATTTCTAAGACTCCTCAGTATCTGAGGGTTTCCTGCTACCCTCGAGTTTCATCTCAATGTAGTATTAGAAATACTTAATTTATATTTGTGAAACAATTACTATGGTAATTTTATTTTTAAACCAAAAGCCTCCATAATGCACACCAAAAGACAGCCAGGAATCCTCAGGACATTTAATCACATAGTTGAAAGCAGTGCCATAAAGCATAATAGAGTGACTTAGGATTAAACAAATATCTTTTCTGTAGGCATTTACTGTGTTTGACTTCTACAGTCCTTTACAGCATCTCTTTAGTACTTAGTGTAGATGTAGAAATACACATTGTTGGAGGAAAGTGCAACTTTCACGTATATAACTGTGTAAAGTTCATCTGAGTACTTCACCCATTTTAGGCCATCTGCATTTAATAAACCTTACCATAACCTTCTGTTAGAGTTCCAAGGAAGCCAAGCATATAGCTAAAGTTAGCTATTAGATATAAGAATGTCTAGGTTTTACATATTATTTGTATCTATGTGTATGCATTTAACATATTTTAAACTATTTTAATGTATCTGTGTAAGTTAATAAGTTGTTCTAGAATGTCAGGAATATAAGACAATACCTTACTGCATTGCAGTGAAAAACTGAAATGATACTAAGTGGATATTCTGCAGTGCAGAATTTGGGCTGTGGTTTCTGTAGAAGGAGCTGAGCTGTACTCTGATAATGGTGAAAATATCCTGAGGGTGAAGAAATAATTATCAAATAGTATTGTTATCAGATTTATAATTTATACAATTATAATCTAATCGCAGCTATATTAAATTTGTAAGCATTTAACTTAAATTTTTGCTAAGATTTCTGAATTCATATTTTTAGTTGTTTTCTTTAAACAATGACATGAAAATATTTACTTCTCCCAGAAGTCAGTAAGAAGAGACCCCAGAGATTTTGTATGAAGGCGAGTAATGCAATCAAATTTTTCACATGTGACTTTTCAAAAGAATTGTAAGGGTTTTATTTGCATTAGGTGTTAATTGTTTATACAATTACAATAGTGGATAATTACTACAGAAACTTCTTACCTGAAATAAACACACACAAAAAAGTATTTAGATTAGACTGAGTGGAAACTCGTTTGAGCAGATGAAGAAATTCACATAAGCCTCAGGCTGGTTGTAGTTCTGGTAAGAGTGGGCTTTCTTCCATGCAGGCACATGCCCCTAGTGGGAATGTACTTGCAGCACACATTGGAATGCAAGAGGAGTTGCTTATCTTGCCTCCTAGCTGTGCAGCTCCACAGATTTCTTTCTTCATACCAATAGCCAGCTCAGGTCTTTCTTGTTCTTTCTAGACTGAAATGACTTTTCTCATCAGATTTGTGCTCTTTTGTTTTTCAATTTTAATATGTGCTTGCAGCTTCTCATTGCCTTCCTATGTCATGATTATGTTCTTCAAATTGTACACATAAAGCAGCTGACAGCTAGTATGGCAGTGCTCTAAGAGAAATTACAGTGTCCTAGGAGCCTTTTCACTTGGAAAGATCCTCTGTAATTTTGGTTTGGTTCCTTCATGTTCATGTTTCCTACAGTTCATTCATAGCCTTCTATGTCAGCAAGTGTTATACTTCCCACTCTGGACTCATGTGACTCTTCCTTTAAAAATGACTGCCTATGCTGGAGAAGGGAGTAGAGATCTTTGGTAACAAGATTTTATTAGCACAGCTCTGAATTCAGGCTGCAGGATAATGCTTAGAGGAGCTATATTGTTTTGGGAATCTAAGCTAATGTGTTCCTACAGAACTGCACCATATAAATACAGGAAGTCATTTAGGATCTCCAAGAAAAGGAGCATTCCTGGCTTAAGAGTTGTGCTGTGTTAAGGTGACTGGTTATACTTTTTTAAAGAGAGAAATAGAGATTCTCAGAGTCTTTCACACCTTTCCTTGCCTTTGGCTGTTGTGGGCTGCATGTAAGGATCTGGAAATGTGCTTCCTATTCTCTTTTGTAAAGAAATACTCTTTATCAGAGTCCAAAAGCAGGATTTGTGAACACTGTATTCTGTACTTTTGCTAAAGTGATGGAAATGAGTATGTTCCTCATACTGGGGCTTTAATGAGGGAGATACTAGGTCTCAACAGAAGCTGGAAATAAAAATGATGCAATGAAGGATGATTTTTAGTCTTGTATTCTTTAAATGAGAGCATCTGATTTTGTTTTTACAGAAGTGCTGGCCATACTCAAAAGCATTTCAGGCTGAAGAACAAGTGTCAAAATGGCATTTCTGAGCCTCACTGACTGCGTTCTGAAACTGTGTAATCTAAGCTCTAAGTTGAGGTGAAGTTTGGACAAAACTACTGGAATATCTGTGTTGTGCTGCAGAGGGTAATGCAGAAATTCTCAAGAACACCAGCTGTGCTGGTTGTATACCCAGAAGCGGTTATAGCCATATCTGGGTGACATAAATCAAAGAGAATTAGACTTATTAAGCAGTGAGTCATGTTGGCTCAATCATAATTCTGTGCCAACAACACAACAGTTTTTGGAATCAGGGTAAGCATCTCTGTAGAGTGATGTGTTTTATGATGTGAATACCAACTCCAGGTAGTCCTACCTTCAAAGCATCTCTGAAGCACTCTGTCCCAAAGTACACGTGGTTCTGTTACAGAACTGCTAAGATCACTAAAGTTAACTGTAGTTTTGGGTGACATGTATTTACCCAGAGTACTGCTGCTTTTATTGACTGTGTCCATTATATTCCTTCTAGGCATCTTGAATCAGGTATTGTTAGTACTGTAGATTTATATAATCTGGTTGTCTCTACTGACCAAGAGCTTAGTGGATCATTTTATTGAGCTGTTTGCTGTTATTTTTTTTTTAAAGTTCCTCTCATTCTTTGTGTAGAAGAAATGGAATTTACCAATTCTAGCTGTTGATTTGCCAGTTAGCTGTATATGAGCTCCCATTGTCCTTACACAATGGAAATATTAATTCAGGAATACCGTCAGCATCTGCTGCAGTCTGTAGCATTCTTAATGGTATTTGGAAATAAAATCTATTGTCAGTTTGATTGCATAATGTATTTACTTCTACTTCACATCTGTGGGGCAACTGAGGGATTCTTTGTCAGTAGAACCAAATTTGGTGTAGTGTTCTGGAGCATATGACGCATTTCATGTCTTAAGCCAACTTTTTCTAAAATCCCTACTGATACATTCGTGAAACCTATGTTTAGGTGTTGAACATGAGACTGTGTTTTAGAAAGTGTTTTCTTAAAAATAAGTATTTGGTTCATCTCTGTATTTCTACTTTGAACTAAATCAGCTGCATCAGCATGTTTTTTGCCCCTTCCTCAGACCATTGTTTTGGTCTGCGCTGACAGGTAGCTTCTTGGTGTTGAATATTGATCTTTTTTTTCCCCCTGATATACTTCCTATCAGATATCTGATGTTGTTTTCTGATTTACCTGTTTTATTCTGGCTCATTCCCTCATCAGTACGGTATCCCTCCTGCTGAAGAAAAGAGAGAAATCAGATGCAGGAAACAGAGGGGATTCTTTATATGGAATGGCAGATATGCAGGCACTTGTCTTTCTGAATTTTAGGCAGGAAAAGAATGCCTATGTTGCATCAGTTTATACCTAGACATGGCTTCTGTCAAACAGCTATGCTGACTGAGTTTCAGTCATCTTTCCTCTTACTGATAAAAAAGCTTCCAGCTACAGTTATTTGCCTGTTGTATTGCTGTTCATGAATAGTTCTCTCTTCTCTTAGGTGTTGTAAGTACCCTTGATGTCTAAGGTATAAATTGATCATATCTGTTATGATTTTAGACAAAGTCTTCAATTATTCTTCTTGCTTTTCTCTCTCTCTGTATTTTCAAGTCTTTTCCTCTGCCTCTTTATGAAACCAAACTAATGGAAACTTTGTTTAGAAATTAGCCTCAGATGCACCTTCTTCCTCTCACCAGATCTGTCTCCAAGACCCTACAGTATTCTTGACAACTTTGTGCTCCTTTTGTTTCTCAAAACTTTTTATCTCAAACAAAAAATCTTTAATGTTTTCTAAGATACCATTTTTGATGTTTTGCTTTGGAGTTGTAAAATTGCCTTGTTTAATATTTATAGGTTCATGAATTAATTAGTTAGGAAATGCTGTATAAGGATTAATGCATTTATTAGGAAGAGGAGAAACACTAGATTCTGTCCTTTCAAGGATGCACTTTGTTAAGTATGTACTTGCCATAAAGCATGCTGGTTTGAGTTTGCCATCAGGTATCACGTGTCACATGGATTCTGGCTTCTCCTGTTTGAACTTACATTTTACTTTTATGTAGAATGAGGAACATCTCAAAGAATGTCATCTTCCTTGCATCACTGATGATAGCTCTTGTCTGGCTTTTAACCTCAACTTCACTATTGCCCACAAATTTAATCTGTGATCTGTTTTTAAAAATGACTGAATTTGGCATTAGTGTGCTCTGTGGGGATTGTGGCTTAGTTCCATCTTAATTTGTAAAACTGTGTTTCCATTTTCATCTGAAATCCTCATAATATTGAGTTTGCAGTGTAGTAAAAGCACAAGGTTTTAATCTAGTATATTTTTACTTAATTCTCCCTTTACAATAAAAGTAAACGTTTAATATAGTTCTGAACCTGCTCTGTGTCCTCCTACAATGATTAGGGAGGGGACTGGATTATTGTGACTATCTGAAGTTATGCAAAGCTACACATGTCTGGCAGTTACACAGCCTGTGAAGTGCTAAGAACCTGAAGTCCTGCTGACTTAGTTTGGGGTTCACGTTTTGAGTTTCCTTCTCTTGAAAATCAGAGCCACATAATTTTGCAGCTGTAAGGATCTCCAGCTGAGATCCGAGCATTCTGTGGATTCTATTCCCAGTTACAAC